CTTTATCTTTCTTTCTTTCTTGATCTTTCTTTCTTTTCCTTTCTTTCTCTCTCTCTCTTCTTCTTTTCCTCCTTCCTTCTTCCTTCCTTCCTTCCTTCCTTCTCCTTCCTTCCTTCCTTCTTCTTCTTCCTTCCTTTTTTCCTTCTTCTTCTCTTTCTTTCTTTCTCTTCTCTTTTTCTTTTTTTTGAGATGGAATTTCCACTCTGTTGCCCAGGCGAGTGCAGTGCATGATCTTGGCTCACTGCAACCTCCGCCTCCTGGGTTCAAGTGATTATCCTCCTCAGTCCCCAAGTAGCTGGGATTACAGGTGCCTGACACCACCCCCAGCTAATTTTTGTTTGTTGGTTTCGTTGTTCGTACAGACGGAGTTTCACCATGTTGGCCAGGCTGGTCTCAAACTCCTGACCTCAGGTGATCTGCCTGCCTTGGCCTCCCAAAGTGCTGGGATCCCAGGCGTGAACCACCACACTTGGCCCAAACCCAGTTTCTAATCATAGGATCACACGATATCAGAATTGGAACAGAATTCTTAATTCAGTCTAGCATCTCACATCAGTTCCCTTTCTTTGTGGTTCTGTACCCTCCCTTGCCCTAACCAACTTGCTCTGTCTGCAGGTCAGTGACTGTGGGGGCCACTGCCCTATCCAATGGGGAGCTTATGGCATGTGGTGTTTGGGTGACTTCTTCCTGACACATATTTATTAGCACTTCACACTGGGCAGGCGTTTAGTCAGCTTTGTGGCATTCTAACTTGCTGATATGGTTTGGGTGTTTGTTCTCTCCACATCTCATGTTGAAATGTGATTCCAGTATTGGAGGTGGGGCCTGGTGGGAGGCAACTGGATCATGAGGTGGATCTCTCATGAATGGTTAATGCCATCTCTTTGGTGATAAGTGAGTTCTTGCTTAGTTAGTTCACATGAGATCTGATTGTTTAAAAGTCTGGGACCACCCCTTTCTCACTCTCTTGCAGCCCCTCTGGCCATGTAAGATGCCTGCTCCCGCTTCCCCTTTGCCTTCTGCCGTGATTGTGAACTTCCTGAGGTCCTCACCAGGAGCAGATGCTGGAACCATGCTTGTACTGCCTGCAGATCTTTGACCCTCCTTTATAAATTACCCAGCCTCAGGTATTTCTTTATGGCTATGCAAACAGCCTAATACACTTCCAATCCCCTTGGTACCAAAACTAGATATCACAAGAAAAGAAAACTGTAGATCAATACTTCTTATGAATATACATGCACAAATTTTCAATAAAAAATACTATCACATTGAATCTAGGATTATACACCAAGACCAAATATGATTTATTTCAAAATGCAAAGTTGATTCAATATGCAGAAAAATCAATGTGATGCACTATATTAATAGAATAAGGACATAAAAAGAATGAAGCTCTGATATATGTTAAAACATGGATAAACCTTGTCTTATCCCATTTGTGTTGCCATAAAGGAATACCTGAAGGTAGGTAATTTCTAAGGAAAACAGGTTTATTTGGCTAGTGGGTCTGCAGGCTGTACATAAGAAGTATAGTGCCAGCATCTGCATCTGGTGAGGGCCTCGTGAAGACCCCACCCATGGTGGAAGGGGAAGAGGAGCAGGCATCACATGGTAAGAGAGGGGAAGGAGGTGTCAGACTCTTTTTAACAACTAGAGCTCATAAGAACTGAGTGAGAACTCAGTGAATCCCATGAGAATGGCACCAACCTGTTCACGAGGGATGTGCCCCTGTGACCCAGACATTTCCCACTTGCCCTCACCTCCAACGTTGGGAATCACATTTCACCATGAGAGTTGGAGAGGACAGTCAAACTGTTATCAAACCTTGAAAATGTTATGCTAAGGGAAAGAAGCTAGACACAGAAAAAAGGCTACATGTATGATTCTGTTCATCTAAGATGTCCAGAACAGGTAATCCTGTAAAGATGGAAAGTAGATTTGTGCTGGTTAAGGGCCGGGGGAAGCAGGGACTGGGGAATAACTGCTAATGGGGATGGGGTTTCTTTCTGAGATGATGAAAGTATCCTGGAAATGGTGCTATTAATGCATAATGTTGTGACTATATTAAAAACTGCTGAATTGTATAATTTAAAATGATGAATTTTATGGCTTGTGGATTATACTTCAATAAAAAAGAACTAGATAAGAGAAGAATTCTATAGTGCCTGTAGCAGAATGTTTAAGGCAAGTAGATAGTAAAATAAATATGAAGTAATTGATGGATGACAAGAACTGCTGGAAATCTCTTTGTAGACCACAAATATAGCCATCGTTTGTTAAATAATAGGAGAGAAATGAGCTCCAAGGAGCTTAGTCCATGTAATCTCTAGGAAATTGTGTCCCAGGAGTTGTTTCTGTTAAAGACAAAATACTTCATGTCCATTGCTCCCTCCTAAGCATTGTATTAATTTTAATTTCAGCATCAGTATGACAAGCTGTTCCACCGTGGCCGCCCTGGGAATGATGCCACTCTGCATTTATCTCTACGCCTGGTCCTGGAGTCTTCAGCAGAATCTCACCATTCCTTATCAGAACATAGGTCTGTATGGGCCTGGGAAATGGAGGACTAACAGTAATGGTGATGACACTAATAGTAGCTGCTCTTAATTACATAACTCTTTATGCAGGGACTTTTTTTTTTTTTTTTTTTTTAGTACCTAATTTAATTCCTTAAAGAACCCTACAGTGTAGATTCTGTCACCAGTTCAATCTCTTAAACCTTTAGGCTTCAAGAGGTTTAGTAACTTGATCAAAATTATGCAGCTGGTGAGTACAGAACTGGGGTTCTAACCTGGGAATATGACTACAAAGTGCAAACTTTCACCCCTACAAGAGTGCATTTTTGAAAAAAAAAAAAAAAGAAAGCCAGATAATTTACTTTGAAAAAGCAAGGATCAAACCCTTCTACAACTAGACTATAAAGCAACTGGACTCTTTATGCTCCAAGGTTTAACTGGATCTAGTGGCTCTAAGTAGACCTTCCTGTGACCACCTTTCACATTGCCTGCGAACCTTGACTTTTTCGTGGAGGTTGAATGTAAATAATTCTTACTGATTATGAAAACTCATCTACATGTCACAGTCACACCCATATCTCTTTCATTATCTCCTCTTCTGAATACTATTTCTCATTAAAGTCTGCCATTTTCCTAAAGATCTCTGTGGGTTTACCAAGCTTAGAAGAGAAATGTGGTGAAATGATCTGCCTTTCCTAGTATGGTCAGTTTTTGGAGAAGTGATAGGTACTATTTTTTTTTTTTTTTTTTGAGAAAGAGTTTTGCTCTATCACTCAGGCTGGAGTGCAGGGGTGTGATCTCGGCTCACTGCAACTTCTGCCTTCTCCTGCCTCAGCCTCCCGAGTAGCTGGGACTACAGGTTCACACCACCACACCCGGCTAATTTTTTTTGTATTTAGTAGAGACTGGGTTTCACCGTGTTGCCCAGGCTGGTCTCAAACTCTTGAGCTCAGGCAATCCGCCCACCTTGGCCTCCCAAAGTGCTAGGATTACAGGCGTGAGTCACCACGCCTGACTGACATAATGATTCTTAAGACTGTCAGTGTCAATCTGGTGTATCAGGTAAACACCCTGAGGGCTTACAACCCGTGGCCCATAGTTCAAAACCATAAATGAAACCACTTCCTCACAACAGCGGGAGCCTACTGAATCTGTAAAACTTGAGGGAAACCTTAATTTAGAAACCATGATTTTATGTGCAACTTTTTTCTGATCAGTAAGTTATTTAATATATTCTGCTTTGATAATATGTTCTGAAAGGCACTCACAAACAAGACACAAAATGTTACGAGCAGCTTATATAACTTCGGAGCCAATATTGTAGGCATTTGTCCAGATTTGGAGAGTGGCATGGGAAAATGTCAGTTTAAAGCTGTTATCTAAATGAAATGGAAGTTATTGAGAAGTGCTGTGCAGTCAGGGTGACAGGGGAAACACTCTGATGGATTTTTCTTCTCTTTAGGAATTACCCTTGTGTGCCTGACTATCCCCGTGGCCTTCGGTGTCTGTGTGAATTACAGATGGCCAAAACAATCCAAAATCATTCTCAAGGTGAGCAACACCCTGGCCACTGTTGGCACATCCTCAGACTCAGGGGCCTGAAAGACAGAAGCGAGCAGTGGCTGGGACAATGGCGAGTACAGCCTCACACCCAGAAATTCTCCTTACACGTCCTGAGGTTTTGGATCCAGTGATTGTATTTCCTCCACCCTGTAAGCCTTGCTCTGCCACTCCCATAGGCCTGTACCCCAAGGCTTATGACGCCCTGGAAAACAAGCAACTATTGATTTAGTGTCAGAAAAGCTAAAGCTGTGTGTGGACAGAAGAGCCCTGCCCATGCATGCACAAGGCTTCACACAGGTGCTCTTGAGGCAGAAGCTGTTTAAGTGAGCATGGAAGGGCGCCCATTAGGAATATGGCTGGTTTATTGGAAGAGTAGGAGGAAGGGCTGTCTTGCAGAAGCATTCCTGGGGGCACTGCCAAAGCTGTCGTTTGTACACATGAGCAAGGGCTGCTGACTACTTGAATAAGACTGTTTAAATGAAATCATCCAGAGAGCACTGAGGAGTCTAGCTATGGAATGATGGTGACTAGAACTTTCTACCTCCTCTTGTCTTTGCAGTCTTGCCCTTTGTCTGCTGGAGAAACAAGCAAATGTCTTTGTTAAACGGTTTTTAAAAATAATTCAAGAGGCCAGGTGCAGCAGCTTACATCTGTAATCCCAGAACTTTGGGAGGCTGAGGTGGGAGGATTGCTTGAGGCCAGGAGGCTGAGGCTTCAGTGAGCCATGATCGTGCCATTGCACTCGAGCCTGGATCACAGAGTGAGACCCCATCTCTAATAACAAAACAAAACAAAAAAACAAAACGTGAAGAGGAGGCATTCTTAACAATGATGTGAGTCTCCTAGGGGTGCTTTCCATTTTTTTTCTGATTATGTATCACTTTAGCAGATAGAAGGTTATAGTATGTGTGGCTTTCATGAAAATTTAAAAAATGTTTTGGTTATATTTTACATTTATAAAGAAAGAAACATTTGGGGTTACTTGGAGTTTCAGGCAGTAAATCTCAGTTAGTTTTGTTTTGTGGTTTATCGTTTGGCTCTACCTCACAGAACATCGCCACTCCATATGCCTGTGCCAATGGACCCTGTTTTTCCAGTTAGGCACAAGGCCAAACAACTCCCACCATTCCTTCAGTGCGATGGAGAAGGAGAGGAGAGGGTTTGCCAAGCAGACAAATCAGCTGGGCACAGAGAGCTGGAAGATGGCCTAGTATAGTACATTTGTAATGCACGTGGATGACTTTAACATCAATGGTGCACACTTGATTTTCACTCTCTTTTTTTAGCTGACCTCATGGAATACAGTCCCATCTTTTCCACATTTATTTTTAAAAATTAATTAAGTTTTTGAGACAGGGTCTCGCTCTGTCACTCAGGCTGGAGTGCAATGACACAATCATAGCTCACTGCAACCTTGATCTCCTAGGCTCAAATGATGCTCCCATCTCAAGCTCTGAGGTAGCTAACACTACAGGCATGCACCATCCTGCCCTACTAATAAAAATAAATTTTTTTTAGAGATGGGGTCTTGCTCTGTTGCCCAGCTGGTTTGCAACTCCTGGCCTCAAGGAATCCTCCTGCCTTGGCCTCCCAGTGTTGGGACCACAGGCATGAGCCACTGTGCCTGGCCCCTTTTCCACATTTATTATTGTTATTTCAGTAGGAGAAAATTTCCAGTGTGGTAGTTATGATTTTGTTTCAAAACAAGAGGAGGGAAATGATCATGGAAACTTCTTGCTTTTCTTTCTTTCTTTTTTTTTTTTTTTTGAGACGGAGTCTCGGTCTGTCACCCAGGCTGGAGTGCAGTGGCCGGATCTCAGCTCACTGCAAGCTCTGCCTCCCGGGTTTACGCCATTCTTCTGCCTCAGCCTCCCGAGTAGCTGGGACTACAAGCGCCCGCCATCTCGCTCAGCTAGTTTTTTCTATTTTTTAGTAGAGATGGGGTTTCACCGTATTAGCCAGGATGGTCTCGATCTCTTGACCTCGTGATCTGCCTGTCTTGGCCTCCCAAAGTGCTGGGATTACAGGCTTGAGCCACTGCGCCCGGCCACTTCTTGCTTTTCAAATACTGTATCTTTGATTATTTTTCTTAAAAGGGCATTTAACAACAACAACAGCAAAAATCATGATTTTGGAGTTTCCAGCTCCGTTATCAATCCATCAGTGTCAGTGGAGAAACCAGATACAATTTTTTTACATGTCAGTTTTATTTGCTGTAAAGAGCAGATTGAAAACTCTTTTCTTTTGGGTATTTCATAGGATTTATGGCAAAACATTTAATAATATGCATAAATATTCTACAGCACCTTAGTAAAAAAAAAACTAGGCTAATGTTATCATTATTTTAGTATATCTTCATTCTCTGTTCTTAGTTCTATTTTAATTTTAAATCTGACACATTTTCTGAACAAACTTAAGTGTTCCTCATTTGCTCTTGGTGGATTTTAAACTTTGAAATCTTTGGTAGAGAGAGGAAGAGGGGATGTTACATTCAGAGGCTTTCTTTCATTTTTCTTTCTTTTCTTTTCTTTTCTTTTTTAAACGGAGTCTGGCTCTGTCACCCAGGCTGGAGTGCAGTGGCTCAATCTTGGCTCACTGCAACCTCCACCTCCCGGGTTCAAGTAAGTCTCCCGCCTCAGCCTCCTGAATAGCTGGGATTACAGGCATGTGCCACCATACCTGGGTGATTTTTGTATTTTTTTTTTTAGCAGAGATAGAATTTTGCCATGTTGGCCGGGATGTCTTAAACTTCTGACCTCAGATGATCTGCCCACCTCGGCCTCCCGAAGTTCTGAGATTACAGACATGAACCACCTTGCCTGGCCAAGAGGCTTTCTTATGTCTTAGCATCTTTTTCTTAGGCAGGGGTCTAGTCTGTCTCTGTATTTAAACAGTAAAAATGACCCCCAGAACACATTTATGGTATATTGGGTATATGGTTTGTTATCTTCTCTAGTTTCCTACGACCACCCTCCTTCACATCCTGAATCATTTCAAATCAAGTTTGACACTGTAACTAGGTACACAGTTTACTGTCTACATGATATGAACAGGAGCTTGCCAAGATCCTGATTTTCCCAAAATACCCTAGGCCATCCTTCCTTCCTATTTTATCTAAAACTCAAATTTGTTTTTGTTATTGTTGGCTTTTTGTTTCTGTTCTTGTTAAACAACAAAAGTAAGAAACAGTATCCATTTGGGAGAGGATAGAGGTCTCCATCAGTATTACTCATGTGATCATGAGTATTAGCTCAGATTGTCCAATGAAGAATGGGTAGATTTTATTTGGAGGGGAGAAGGACAGGGACCAAAGCAGCAGGCAGCTGCTGGTGGTTGAAGGGGCGGTGGGAGGGGAGGCAGATGGTCAGGCAGGGCAGACTGGAGGTCACAAGCAGAGGGTCACAGAGGTGTGTGCAGGGGTGTTGGAAGCTCATTGTCAGATCCCATTCATTTTGCACTTTTGTTCTACTCACAATAAAACTCTGCTCCCAATCTTTCTGGCAAAATCTTCTACTTGAAGGGAAAAGTAGATGTGCTAAAACAAGACTTAGATTTGTGTCAAATTCCACCCATTTCTAGCATAGGCAAGTTACTTGACCAGTTTGGAACTCAGATTTCTCCTCTACAAAGTGAAATTGGATTCAGTCATCTCTAAGTCCCTACTTTGTTCTAAAATTTCTAGATCCCAAGCATTTTACAACCTCGATGGACTTTGTATCATAGAGCAAAAAACCCTGAGTTTATATGCACTTATTTTATTGTTTGCTTCAGATTGGGGCCATTGTTGGTGGGGTCCTCCTTCTGGTGGTCGCAGTTGCTGGTGTGGTCCTGGCGAAAGGATCTTGGAATTCAGACATCACCCTTCTGACCATCAGTTTCATCTTTCCTTTGATTGGCCATGTCACGGGTTTTCTGCTGGCACTTTTTACCCACCAGTCTTGGCAAAGGTATAGTTGAACTATCCATAAACTTTTTTTTGAGGAAGGTAAAGTTAACACACTGCCACTGGCAGGCTTTGCTGCCTGTGTCAGGAGACATGAAGAGTTTTGACTTACACAGTGGAACGGAGCAGGATAACTTATGGCAATTCATGGAAAATATTGTGGCAATTCTTTATGTAAATTAAAGCAAAGGCCAAATTGATAAGAAGAGATAAATTTAAGTTAAAAAAGAATAGAAAATGACATGTATTTAATTCCCACTTTGTAGAAGAAAGCAAAAAGAGTTCTATGCATCAAAAAATACTGGAAGAAATATACCATATGGTAACAATGTTTAATTTTGAGTAGGGAGAGTAAGGATAATTTTAGTTCTTTAGTATTTCCTTGGTATATTTTTGAAGCTTTTCAATAAGTATGGACTACTTTTAAAAGCAGAAAAAATTTCTTAAAGAAAAGTAAATTATGCAGTTGAATTCTAAAGGTGAAAGATGGGAATTTTTAATTGGCTTTATGCTGCTTCCAGTCCACTTGGGGAACATTTAGGATTGTACTAAGTGATCGGTAAAGCTTTACCCCATCTATCTCATTTACTTCTTACTACAAGCTTGAGAAGTAGATCCTATCACTACCCTCATTCTACTGATGAGCAGATCCTTCAGAGAAATTAAGTGACTTGACCAAGTTCACAGAGCTAGAAAATGGTGGAGTTAGGATTTAGACCTGGGTTTTTTTTTTTTTTTTTCCAAATTTAACAATTAGGAACACAGTCTGTTGAGTGGTTGAAATGCAATTGGCTCTGGACAGAAAGTACTCCTATGGCAAGATGTAGTCCACAATCTCATGTTTTTCATACCCGATAGCCTGACAAAGGCCAGGACTGAGATTTGGCTCATGAATGGTGCAGGTGTGGGTTCCAGCTTTGTAGCTTAATCATACTGAGTTTTTGACAAAAGTCTGGAAGAAGTGAGGGTGGTTTGAGGCAAGTGTAGCACGCAATAGAGTAAGTAGAAATAAAGTATGAACACAGAGCTTGCCCTGTACCACTGACAGCAATTTCACCCCCTCATCACACACCCTTGTTACTTCCCCATTCCAGTCCAACTTAAACACAGATGCTTGTTTGTTTTCTGAAACACCTCTTTTATCTCCTCACTTCCACGTATAAACCCCTGCAGACTCCCTTTATAACTTGGAGACATGAAACTGCTTAACTCAGCCCTCAATGTCCTGCCCAGGTCTTCCCTCTCTTCCCTCCTTTATCTTTTTCAAATGAGGTTTATTTCATTTTATGCAACCAGAAAACCAATAAAATATAGAAAAGTAGAAAGCAAAAAGAAAAATTATTACCAAACTCTTTCACCAAAGACAACCATTTTAGGTATTTGGTCTTTATTTAGGGTTTTTTGTTTATTTATTTATTTATTTATTTATTTATTTATTTATTTATTGAGACCTTTGTTGCCCAGGCTGGAGTGCAACCTCTGCCTCCTGGGTTCAAGCGATTCTCATGCCTCAGCCTCCCAAGTAGCTGGGATTACAGAAGCATGTGCCACCACGCCTGGCTAATTTTTGTATTTTTGGTAGAGACAGGGTTTCACCATGTTGGCCAGGCTGGTCTCAAACTCCTGACTTCAGGTGATCCACCCACCCCGGTCTCCCAAAGTGCTGAGATTACAGGTGTGAGCCACTGCGCCTGGCCATGTTTATTTGTTTTTAAGTGTTGTTTAGTTTATGTTGTTTCATATGTCTTTATATATATATGTTTTTCTTTTTGTAGAGACAGGGTCTTACTCTGTTGCCCAGGGTGGTCTTGAATTCCTGGCTCAAGTGATCTTCCCACTTCTGCCTCTCAGTGCTGGGATTACAGGCATGAGCCACCATGCCCTGCATCATATCTCTAACTCAACCTTCCCTTCTCATCTCCTCCAATCCTCTCCTCTGTGCAGATTGGCTTACAGTATATGCAATGCCTGCTGAATAGGCCACACTCACACCTGTCCCTGGCACTTTAATTTTTATAATATTTCCCCCTCATCAAAAGCTTCTTCTATTTTTTCCATCCTTTAATCTCACTCCTCTGTGAAGCCTTCTCTCACCCCTTCTGCCATTTTCTGAATTTCTACATCTGCGTGGCCTTTGGCCATACTTTGTCTTGTGTTGCTGCTGAGCCTTTCCTGTGTGTTTATTTTGTCTTTTCACTCAGATGCCTAGAGCAGGGTTTGCAAAACCCCACTCCACCGTACCTCTCAGAAGACCACCTGCAGAGTAGGAATTCAGCAAATAACTATGGAATGAGTACACATTTTCTGTGGCCTGAGGTCATAGCTTCTAATTGTTATGATGCATATGAGAAAATGTGAGAATAGTTCTTATTGCTAGTGCTTTACTCTTGAAACTTTTTCTCTTTGCTAGGTGCAGGACGATTTCCTTAGAAACTGGAGCTCAGAATATTCAGATGTGCATCACCATGCTCCAGTTATCTTTCACTGCTGAGCACTTGGTCCAGATGTTGAGTTTCCCACTGGCCTATGGACTCTTCCAGCTGATAGATGGATTTCTTATTGTTGCAGGTGGGCGAACTCCCATTGAGTAGGAAATAACTGACAGAAAATTGTTCACCCAACTTATCGACCTTTTTTTTCCAATCCAAACTTGCCTGTGCTGCCCCTGTGATGCATTTTTTTTTTTTGGGGGGGGATGGAGTCTGGCTCTGTCCCCCAGGCTGGAGTGCAGCACGTGGCGCAATCTCTGTTCACTGCAAGCTCCGCCTCCCGGGTTCACGCCATTCTCCTGCCTCAGCCTCCCAAGTAGCTGGGACTACACTGTGATACACTTTTTGAAAGCCTGACATTTCTGGGGACGATAAGGTGCATAGACATGATAGTTTGGCACAAGTGGGAGTTTCATAGAAAAATATATAAAAAATCTGAAAATGAGCTTATAATTATAAACAAATATACTTCACAAAAGTGAATCAATGGCTGGGCGCGGTGGCTCACGCCTGTAATCCCAGCACTTTGGGAGGCCGAGGCGGGTGGATCACGAGGTTAGGAGATTGAGACCATCCTGGCTAACACCTGGTGAAACCCCGTCTCTACTAAAAATACAAGAAAATTAGCCGGGCGTGGTGGTGGTCACCTGTAGTCCCAGCTACTCGGGAGGCTGAGGCAGGAGAATGGCGTGAACCGGGAGGTGGAACTTGCAGTGAGCCGAGATCGCGCCACTGCACTCCAGCCTGAGCCACAGAGCGAGACTCCCTCTCAAAAAAAAAAAAAAAAAAAGAAAAAAGTGAATCCACTATCAGAACTTAGACTTCGCAACTTGTTATGACAAGATCTCCGTGAGCAATCATTGAGCTCCAAAGTGACATTTGCTGCTCTTAAGCGTTGGTTTGTTAGGTCTCATTAAAAGCCTTGAGGTCTCCCAAATGCCAAGTTATTTCAGTGTTTCTGTGACTAAGACTTGTGCTGAATGGCTGTGAAATATTTTTCAAATATGAAATATTACACATATACAAATATTGAAATATATATGTGTATGCACATATGAGTGCAGCCAAATATACATTACTTCGGCGTGTTCACAGATGATAAATTTAAAAAATATATATAATGCAAGAACAGAAAACCAAATACCTCACTTATAAGTGGGAGCTAAACATTGAGTGCTCATGGACATAAAGATGGCAGCAATAGACACTGGGGACTACTAGAAGAGGGAGGGAGGGGGCAGAGGTTGAAAAACGAACTGTTGGGTATGGTGCTCACTACCTCGGTAATAAGATTATTTGTTTCCCAAACCTCAGCATCACCGCATATACCCAGGAAGCAAACATGCACATAGACCCCCTGAATCTAAAAGTGGAAAAAGAAAAAAATATATATTAATATGTTCACATACATATATATATTTTAATCTTGGGCCATGGTACATTTTCACTGTTGTTAGGGAATTAGGTCTGAGTAAGACTCAATGATTACTGATAGAACTGATTATATACTGATTGCTGATTGTTATTATTATGTACTGATTACAGAAATAACAATCAATATAACAATATAAGGAATACCTGGGGCTTAATTTCCCCAATAGATAAGATAAATCATATTAGAGTCAAATTCTTGGTCTCAGACCCATGTTTTCATTCCTTCTCTTGGAGAGACTGAGGGAAGCATCATTTCTAGCTCATTCCCAGCTCCAGCCCAGAGCCCAGGAGTGTCCTACTCCTAGTAAGCACTTGCAGGATTTGCCAGCTGACTGACTAAGTGAATGAGTGAATGAATGAATATATGAGTTTGTGAGCTGTCAGCAACCTGATGAATGAGCCTCAATCACAAATGGTTCACTCCAGACAAAAGAGTCATTCTGATACACCGAATCCTTCTGTTCCATAACTTTCTCTCTTCCCCCTTCTTTTTCCTGGGTGTTTATACATACATGATGCCACCCAGACACCTGAAGGATTGACAAGTGTACAGTGTCACCAAATTAGACTCTTTGTTAAAGTGATTGTTAATACTTGTATGTTTTAACACTTAGCATATCAGACATACAAGAGGAGATTGAAGAACAAACACGGAAAAAAGAACTCAGGTTGTACAGAAGTCTGCCACACGAGGAAATTGACTTCTTCCAAAGAGACCAATGCCTTCTTGGAGGTGAATGAAGAAGGTGCCGTCACTCCTGGGCCACCAGGGCCAATGGATTGCCACAGGGCTCTCGAGCCAGTTGGCCACATCACTTCATGTGAATAGCAGGGACTTGCTGGTTGGACTGGCACCCTTCTTTTTCAGTGGCCAGTAAAGACAGTGTGCAGCTGACACATGAATCTTGTTGGTAGGGCCAGTGTGAATATTTAAGTGTTCAATGTTAGAATATTTATATGTATATTTTCTTTTCTTTTTTTTTTTTTTTGAGACAGAGTCTCGCTCTGTCACCCTGGCCGGAGTGCAGTGGCGAGATCTCAGCTCACTGCAAGCTCCGCCTCCCGGGTTCATGCCATTCTCCTGCCTCAGCCTCCTCCTGGTAGCTGGGACTACAGGCGCCCGCACACCCGCAGCCCCGCTAGGTTTTTTTTTTTTTCTTGTATTCTTAGTAGAGATGGGGCGTTCCAATGTGGTCTCAGATCCTTCCTGCACCTTGTGTCGTCCCCTTCCGCCTGTTGGCCCCTCCAAATGCTGGGATTACAGGCGTTGAGCCACCGCGCCCAGCCAGAACTATTATATTTCCATGTGGATTGAATTGTGATGAGGATCACTCTTTGGAGATTCCACCATTTCCAGGGAGTTTCTTCTCTGAGGGGTTAACATATCAATTGGCTGCTTGTGTTATCTTGTCCTTCCATGCAGCAAAATCAGTCCTGGCAGTGACACGTAGGTAAAACTCCCTTCATAGGGGAACTTATCCTTATGCTTGTGGTTTTTTTTTTTTTGAGACAGAGTCCTTGCTCTGTTGCCCAGGCTGGAGTGCCAGGGCACATCTTGCTCACTGCAACCTCCACCTTCCTGGGTTCAAAGCGATTCCCGCTGCCCTCTCAGCCTCCTGAGTAGCTGGACTAAACAGGTGGTGTGCCACCCACGCCCAGCTAATCTTTCTTTGTATTTTATAGAGATGGTGTGTTCACCACGTTGGCCAGCGCTGGTTTCAGACACTCCTGGTCCTCAGGTGATCTGCCTGCCTCAGCCTCCCAAATGCTGGATTACAAGGCGTGACGCCACCGCCCAGCATGTTGTTGGATTTTATTCTGAACAAGAATAGGACTCTGAGGAGATGCCCACCTCATACTGCAGGGGTGACGCAGACTGCGTGACTTCTTGACTCTGGCCAGGTCCTCAGGTGCCACTGGAGGAGAACAAATAGCTCTTTGTAGCATAAATGGGCGTCACTTGTTCTCAGAAATCGATTATTGAATTTGTTTAGAAATTTGAAAATCTTTTTTGATTATGGGGTGTAATACAAGCTTGAAACAATTTAAACACACAATAACGGTTAAAATTGAAATGCCCCTGTATGTTTCAAACTAAAATACCTAGACACCA